ACAATTTCAACCATTATGATAGTCATATTGTGGAGTAATTTATCTTTGGCAATATTTATAATGATCGAGGACACCATTATTCTTTCTTCAGATATATTAACTTCTGAAAATATCACCTCAAATTCAAACCTTTTTTCTTGTGGTGTAATGTTTAATACACTCATATGTGCAGTATTAGCACACACTAACACACTAACACACTCACTGTCTTGAAGAGCCAGCTAGTGAAACTCGAGCGCATACAGAATGAAGCTATGCAAGTGATCCTGGGATGTACAAGAGACACCCTTTTGTGTGCAGGCGATGCATTCTTGCATTGCCGACTATTACAGATAGGCTAAAGTTTTTGCAGGCTAAGTTATACCTCAGAGTAGCTGCAGACAGGGAACACCCGCTGTATGAAGCTTTGGCTGCAGTTAAGGGTCAGAGGCCGAAAAGGGGAAAATTGTTCAAGACGAAGACACGATAAGACAAATATGCATGTTGGAGAACACTGAGTGAGGACAGGAATGGGTCGGAGTACTACAGGTAAAGTCTAACCTATGTAGGGTTATGATCACAATGGGTTGGGAGTGCAGAGAGTGGCCAGCGGGTGCTACAGAGGTGGAAGTCCAACAACTGATTTACGCCCAGGTTATTTATACAGTTGGTTCAGTGTTGAGGAAAGAAAGAGAAGTGCGTGGGGTTTCATAGCAAAAGCCAATGAAAAATCTTTAGTGCAAGACAGCCTAGCATACGACACCACAACATCTAGCAAGAGAATGGAGGTGGAGGCGGTAACTCTCCGGTGGCTAGAGAGCAAGATGCACATTCATGTCGTAATTGTAACAGACTTTGAATGCATGCTGAGAAAGGTGAAGACAGAAATGCTTCAAGCAGAATGGCAAGCTTCACTAGGAAGGTCAGGGGTAGTGAGCACACTTTGGATCTTTTCTCCATGCTATGCCGGTGTGGTGGGTAATAAAAAGACAGACAGGTTGGCTGGATCTGAACCACTAGGTGGTGAACTGATACACAACAAGGCAGATGTGGTCAAGGTTCTTTGGGAACAAGCAATGGAATCAGTAGAGAAAGAAGATTATTATGGCCTGGAGAGAATGAGGCACCGGGGTGCCGACTACATTCAGAGGAAAGGCAAGATGGACATGAAACCAGATTGTGACTTGTACCATCAGGACTGGAACTCTGCGCTGGCTGCTGAAGATAAAGACTGAGCACACATGGGAATGCCCCGAGTGATGTTAAATGTTGACTCAACTCCACATTAACACTTACATGTGTACAGTATCAGCACACACTAACACTTACATGTGTACAGTATTAGCACACACATTAACACTTACATGTGTACAGTATCAGCACACACTAACACTTACATGTGTACAGTATCAGCACACACACTAACACTTACATGTGTACAGTATCAGCACACACTAACACTTACATGTGTACAGTATCAGCACACACTAACACTTACATGTGTACAGTATCAGCACACACTAACACTTACATGTGTACAGTATCAGCACACACTAACACTTACATGTGTACAGTATCAGCACACATTAACACTTACATGTGTACAGTATCAGCACACATTAACACTTACATGTGTACAGTATTAGCACACACATTAACACTTACATGTGTACAGTATCAGCACACACTAACACTTACATGTGTACAGTATCAGCACACACACTAACACTTACATGTGTACAGTATCAGCACACACTAACACTTACATGTGTACAGTATCAGCACACACACTAACACTTACATGTGTACAGTATCAGCACACACTAACACTTACATGTGTACAGTATCAGCACACACTAACACTTACATGTGTACAGTATCAGCACACACACTAACACTTACATGTGTACAGTATCAGCACACACTAACACTTACATGTGTACAGTATCAGCATACACACTAACACTTACATGTGTACAGTATTAGCACACACATTAACACTTACATGTGTACAGTATCAGCACACACTAACACTTACATGTGTACAGTATCAGCACACACACTAACACTTACATGTGTACAGTATTAGCACACACATTAACACTTACATGTGTACAGTATCAGCACACACTAACACTTACATGTGTACAGTATCAGCACACACTAACACTTACATGTGTACAGTATCAGCACACACACTAACACTTACATGTGTACAGTATCAGCACACACTAACACTTACATGTGTACAGTATCAGCACACACACTAACACTTACATGTGTACAGTATCAGCACACACTAACACTTACATGTGTGCAGTATTAGCACACACACTAACACTTACATGTGTACAGTATCAGCACACACTAACACTTACATGTGTACAGTATCAGCACACATTAACACTTACATGTGTACAGTATCAGCACACATTAACACTTACATGTGTACAGTATCAGCACACACTAACACTTACATGTGTACAGTATCAGCACACATTAACACTTACATGTGTACAGTATCAGCACACACACTAACACTTACATGTGTACAGTATCAGCACACACTAACACTTACATGTGTACAGTATCAGCACACACATTAACACTTACATGTGTACAGTATCAGCACACATTAACACTTACATGTGTACAGTATCAGCACACACACTAACACTTACATGTGTACAGTATCAGCACACACTAACACTTACATGTGTACAGTATCAGCACACACTAACACTTACATGTGTACAGTATTAGCACACACTAACACTTACATGTGTACAGTATCAGCACACACTCCACACTAACACTTACATGTGTACAGTATCAGCACACACTAACACTTACATGTGTACAGTATCAGAATACACTTCAGAGTAAAACTTACATGTGTACAGTATCAGCACACACTCCACACTAACACTTACATGTGTACAGTATCAGCACACACTAACACTTACATGTGTACAGTATCAACACACACTAACACTTACATGTGTACAGTATCAGCACACACTCCACACTAACACTTACATGTGTACAGTATCAGCACACACTAACACTTACATGTGTACAGTATCAGAATACACTTCAGAGTAAAACTTACATGTGTACAGAATCAGCATACACTTCCCACTAACACTTACATGTGTACAGTATCAGGCCACATTAACACTTACATGTCTACAATGCCTACACAAACAGTCACAACCTAACATGGTCATTACCTGACTTCCAGTTTTGTTGCCATCCATCTCCACAGAAGAGTTATGAGCATCATCATCCATGAAAGGAAGCAGATCTGTTAAATCCCCATTGATTTTATCTCCTTGTGCCCAACCCTCACTTCCTGTTTGTTCACTACACACTGAAACTGTCTTCACCTTCTGGGTGGCCTTCACTCTGTTTGTGGATGAGCCACCACTGGTGGTCTGAGAGGAGCTGGACTCACTGATGTCTCCATGAGAACTGTTTGTAGATTTGCCCCTGTTTGCCAGGGCTGGAATATCATCTGTGGACTCGCCACAGTGGCGCAGCATATCAATCAGGACTTCAGTCGGGGATGATGCAGCCAAATTCCTGGTTTTAGATTGGCCATAAGGCACTCTGTTGGGAATCTGTGGTGGTTCTCTGGACTGTAGCGAAGCTGGTACAAGATTGTCATAGATTTGAGATTTTCTGTTGGGTTTCTTCTGTCCAACTGTTGGGTCATCAAAAGCATTTGACAGAGAACTGAGAATTGTATTCAAGCTGTCAAATTGTTTTCCTGTAGTCTGTGGAAACAATACAATACAATGATAAGACTACAACCATCACACTGGAAACAATACAATACAATGATGAGTCTACAAATATAACACTGGAAACAATACAATACAATGATGAGTCTACAACCATCACACTGGAAACAATACAATGATGAGTCTATAACCATCACACTGGAAACAATACAATACAATGATGAGTCTACAAACATCACACTGGAAACAATGGAAACAATGGAACTCATTGCTAAATTCTGAGAACAGATACAAGAAGATCGTTGTTCGACTGTGAGAATGATGGTAGATGAATTTGGTGTTAATACAGAGACTATTCGTAACATTTTAGTGGAAAATTTGGGCAAGATAATAGTTGCTTGCCGGTTTAAATTCAACACCTGGCAATTTGTTTCTTCTTCATGACAATGCACCGGCTCAAAGGGTGGTAGTTGTACAGGAATTTTTGGCCCCAAAACAAGTGTGTGTTCTCAACCATACACCCTTTTTCCCCAGATTTGTCTCCCTGTGACTATTTTCTATTCCCAAAATTAAAGCTGCCATTGAAAGGACGCTTCTTTGGTGATACTGATGGCATTCAAAGGGCCGTAACATCGACCTAAAGGGCTATAACAACAGAAGAACTACACAGGTCGTTCAAGTGTTTGTTAGATCATGATACTTGCTGTATCAATGCACAAGGGGCTTACTTTGAATAAAATACAGGTTATATCTTTAACTGTTGATTATTTTAATTTTTATGGAATTAGTCTGATTAATTAACTGTCGGACCTTGTATAATGACAGTGTGCTGTATGGGTGAATATAGAGCTGATGGTGAAAGTTTCTTGTGTGGGGGACACGGAACTGCTGTGAAAGTATATTGTGTGGGGGAACATGTGAAGCTGATGGTAGAAGTATGATGTGTGGGGGACATGTGGAACTGATGGTGAAAGTTGTGTTGGGGACATATGGAACTGATGGTGAAAGTGTTGTATGTGGGCGACATGCTGAACTGATGGTGAAAGTGTGTTGTGTGGGGGACATGTGAAATTGATGGTGAAAGTGTGTTGTGTGGGGGACATGTGAAATCAATGGTGAAAGTTGTGTGGGGGACATATGAAACTGATGGTGAAAGTGTTATATGCGGGCGACATGCTGAACTGATGGTGAAAGTGTATTATGTGGAGGAAAGATACATGTATTGTCGTATGCAAACAAAGAAGAAACATGCACGTAATGAAGAAAGCGGCAAACCTCTGAGTACTTCTCTGTGCACTCTAGCAGCAGAGCATGAAGAACAGACAGCTCCTTGCCAAGATCTATGTATCCATCAAACTCCAGGAACTGGTTGCCTGCATCAGGACTCTACAATGCAAGTGAAATCACAGGGTCAAAATAAATATTCAATGGAACAGATAAGATAATTATAACATAGTGTGGTTATGCAAGTTGTACAAAATATATTTTATACACTTCTTACAATTTCTGATATAGATATTATTCAGACCATAATGCTAAATCTGATGTAGATATTCTTCAGACCATAATGCTAAATCTGATATAGATTTTCTTCAGACCATAATGCTAAATCTGATATAGATTTTCTTCAGACCATAATGCTAAATCTGATGTAGATATTCTTCAGACCATAATGCTAAATCTGATATAGATATTCTTCAGACCATAATGCTAAATCTGATACAGATTTTCGTCAGACCATAATGCTAAATTTGATACAGATTTTCGTCAGACCATAATGCTAAATCTGATACAGATTTTCTTCAGACCGTAATGCTAAATCTGATGTAGATATTCTTCAGACCATAATGCTAAATCTTATATAGATTTTCTTCAGACCATAATGCTAAATCTTACATAGATTATCTTCAGACCATAATGCTACATTGGTTAGCATCTTCTCTTCTGGTTTACTCATGTTTTTTGTTTAAATAACCTCCACTTCTCCTGGCCAGTTAGTCCGTTAATCGACAGACTATCCTTTATCGCACAAAGGCTAAACCCATAAGTGCTCAGATCCCACCTTCAGTATATCCCTCAGTATGTGGCAACTAATAACAGCAGCTCTTTTTTTTTTTGGTTTACTATTCTTCTTCAGCTACCTGCACAGTGTTCATCCTGACGGCATGGAAAAGGGTCCTTTACTTTACTTATAGTGTTCATGTCTGGCAATACCTCTTCTGAGCTGAAGTTCTTGAAGATTTGTTAATGTTGTCAATTTACAGTTGTCTCCTGAATCATCTACTCATTCTGCCTCACTTAAACCATTGGCCTGGTTCATTGCTGGTCCTGTACCTACCATGGCTTTACCAGCAAGCCAATCCGCTCATTCATTCCCTCTTACTCTAGAGTGCACAAAAATGCAACTGATTCCTGTTTCTGACGTGGGTAACCATCTCTCTCTTTATGAGTTAATTTCTCTCAAAACACTAGGTTGTAACCAGACTAAGACAAGCACACTATGACAACCACACTAAATCAACTACACTAAGACAACACAGACTGTCTAGACACACAAACTGAAAAAAACAAATGTTACAAATCAAATGAGTGAGCACTCGTGCTGGAGAACTTACAGAAATCTTGTGTAAGAAAGACTTCATGCTGGGGGCCTCTCTCTCCACAAATGTATTCATGAAGGTCATAAACTCTTCTTTGCCTCCAAACCTGTACAACAAAAGTACAATGAATTAACACTTCACAACATTAGCACAGATTTTAATGAGGACATCAATAAGATCACCATCATAGACCCTTAACTCACCATGCGTCACCATCTGCTGTTGACTGACCAGATGTTGCCATGTCTGTTGCCAGTCAGATGCCCTGGGCTTGATGTTCACTAATTTGATAAACAATATGCTGCATAATTTAAATGCCTGACACATTTCGCTGTGTGAAATGCATGCTAATGGCTAAATGCTTAAGCAAGTGAACCGATATAACTCCTGAGACCATCTGATACAAGATGCTTTGCAGAGAATCTCAATGACAAAAGTTGCCTTTAGCCAAATGTAAAAGATACAAATTAAAGCAAGAAAAAGAGCGTTTAAGTGCTAAAAAGAACTTGTTTTTATACACAGTTGAGACCTGGAGAATAACTAGAGAAGCTGAAAATAACTCAACTTAGCAAAGATGTGCTTTTGGATGAGAAAGCAAAGAATATTATGGGACAATAGAAAAACAAATAAGACCATTCTTCTCAAGGTACAAGAAAAAAGTAAACAGACTTGAGAAGTCAGATGTCAACTTTTTTTTTTTAAACCTGTTATAAGATGGAATGGACTTGAGAGCCTGGTTAACTGTTACCATTCAAGAAAAAAGAGATAGAAACTCCTAAATTCGTTACTTGCAATCTCCCTATAAATATCACAGATATCTCATAAACATCAAATGTTACTGGACATTTACATAAACACTTCTACTGTTTCACAAAAACTTACTGGGTAAAGTTAGCAAGAGTCTGGATTGTCTTGGCAATCAATGTTAGATTCCGAGATGCTCTTTCATTGGGGTACTCTGTAAACATTCACACATTGATTCAGTCAGATACAAGATAATGGTTATACTACTGTCTGTTGTGTGACTGGTTTTAACTTGAAATAATTTATCATCACATGTCAACAATGATGTAATGTATAATTATGTAGCTTGTGAAATGATTCAGCTGTTTAACAGTTATCATCTATCATGTTTAACGATTAATACTGATTTAGTATTATAACATAATAAGCAGTCATATGTAAATATCTCAACCGATCACTAACAATGAACACTGCTGCCTTTAGTTGTGTGGATCGAATAGCCTTGAACCATAAATGTGTTTTACGGACTAACTAATGAACAATTACACAAAACAGATGTTACTGCATGCTCTCATTAACAGCAGGTAAAAGATTGGCCATTTAGCACACTTATGTCTTCCTGCATGCACCTTTCCCTCATGCGTATCTAACTCCACTGCAGCAGTGTGCTCATTAGACGCACCGTCCTTACACTCAGAGACTTAAACGGCTTTTAGCACAACTATCAGGATCAAATCTGCTATCTGTACAAGTTTGAGCTGAGGCAACACGCAGTGTTAAGGATTTATCATTAAAATATCACATAAGACTACCCAGTGTGATGGTTATTGGATAAATAGGTGTGACACTAGCACAGTGTGATGGTTATTGGATAAATAGGTGTGACACTAACCTGGTGTGATGGTTATTGGATAAATAGGTGTGACACTAACCTGGTGTGATGGTTATTGGATAAATAGGTGTGACACTAACACAGTGTGATGGTTATTGGATAAATAGGTGTGACACTAACCCAGTGTGATGGTTATTGGATAAATAGGTGTGACACTAACACAGTGTGATGGTTATTGGATAAATAGGTGTGACACTAACCTGGTGTGATGGTTATTGGATAAATAGGTGTGACACTAACACAGTGTGATGGTTATTGGATAAATAGGTGTGACACTAACCCAGTGTGATGGTTATTAGATAAATAGGTGTGACACTAACCCAGTGTGATGGTTATTTGATAAATAGGTGTGACACTAACACAGTGTGATGATTATTTGATAAATAGGTGTGACACTAACAAAGTGTGATGATTATTTGATAAATAGGTGTGACACTAATCCAGTGTGATGGTTATTTGATAAATAGGTGTGACACTAACCCAGTGTGATGGTTATTGGATAAATAGGTGTGACACTAACCCAGTGTGATGGTTATTTGATAAATAGGTGTGACACTAACCCAGTGTGATGGTTATTTGATAAATAGGTGTGACATTAACCCAGTGTGATGATTATTTGATAAATAGGTGTGACTATAACCCAGTGTGATGGTTATTTCTTCTTCTTCTGCGTTCATCCGAAGATGTAACTGTGTTGTGTCCGTTTACAGCATGGCTGCGATATTTGAAACCTTTCAGCCAACACATCCAACTTCTGCGGGCATGTGTTGACCGGGTTAGCCTTCCCGGTTTGATAGTTATTTGATAAACAGATGTACGACTAATTCAGTGAAACAGCTGCAACAAAGTAAAGTCGTTTAATTCAAACTCACTTAAGAAGAACCCTTAACATGAACGAAGTAGTTAAGGCACGGATGTGTTATTACTATTAGTATTAATCCCTGGTTAGCACATATATTTTCAAAACTGGAAATTGATTTTCAGCCCCTTGTAATTTGCTAACTGTACATACTTAAATCATTATAACAAAAAGTTTAAGAATGACCCACCCAATAAGACAGCTATATCAAACAATCTAAACATAAACAGTGCAGTGTATTGGTGAAGAAGTTGAGAGACAGCCTGAGCTAAAGGTACTCACCCTGTGTGATATTGAACAATCTAAACGTAAACAGTGCAGTGTATTGGTAAAGAAGTTGAGAGACAGCCTGAGCTAAAGGTACTCACCCTGTGTGATATTGAACAAACTTGGATATAGAATAGCTGGACAGAGGAATCTCAAGAATATGCAACCACTGATTAGGTTATCACTGTAGTCTCCCTTGCCCTTGTCATTGCAACGACTGCGGAAGCTAGCAAACACTTCCCGGAGCTCACTAAAAGTAAAAACAAAGTCAGTTCAATACTTTCATTGACAGATGAGGTCAAATAGCATAATTTGTGTCATTCACAATGTCAGTGTTAGTAAATGTTTTAGACACAGGCAAATAAATGGTAGTTGATATATCACAGAACTCGACAACAGAAAGAATTATATGGCTGTGAGAAGGCTCCAGTGTATCAGAGTTAAGCAGCAGGCTCAGATTTTCATCTTATTCCTGGGAAGAATTCTGCAGGCAGATGTCAGTCGTACAAACAAAGGCAACATTCTCAAACTGTTTCTTCTTTTGCCCTTCACTCTCCAATGGAGCATAGGTCCTGAAAAGCTCTAATCAAGCTTCCATCATCTACCATATTCTCCTTACATTATTCATCCTCTTATTATCTGTTCAAGTACTTTGCATCTTCGTCAACTTCCTTCTGTGTATTCTAGAAGGACTTTCTGATGACACTATCAGCAGAATTTAACATGTGTTCTACCAAGCACAGCCTCTTTATCTTCACATTCTAAACTATCTTTTGTAGTTATTTCTAACTCTTTAGGTTCACAGCATATAAGAAATTAATATTTCATAGATCATGAATGAACTCAATAATTTCTTTATAAGCAGAAACTGCTAATATACTTTTTACAAATATAATAAAACCAACAGGAGTTTCAGAGAGCAAGATACTCGCTCTGGTGATCTAAAAGTTTGTCACAGGCTTAGGACATACTCAAAAGTCTTGTTGATGTGACAAGCAAGGGGAAAACTACCCAATTATTATCATAAGAAACTTACAATGAAAGTCATACGCATGTGTGCATGCAAGCAGCATCTTGTCTCTAAAACTGAAACAGTGTGGCCATATCAAGCACCCCAGTCGACTGGAAAGAATAGTAACAGAAGGTTTGGTGTTGAGAAAGAGGGGCAGGGCCAATCAGCACAAAGATGGGCACAGGATAGAAGTGTCACCTTGGGCTGCAAAGTGCCCGAGATGGAAGAACTGGTGAGAGACCAAGGCAGAACATGATGACAGCCGTGTTCTGCAAAGTGCTGGAGATAGGAGAACTGATGAAAGACTGAGGCAGACCGTGATGACAGTCAAGTTCTGCAAAGTGCCAGAGATGGGAGAACTGATGAGAGACTGAGGCAGACCATGATGACAGCCATGTTCTGCAAAGTGCTGGAGATGGGAGAACCTGTGAGAGACTGAGGCAGACCATGATGACAGCCATGTTCTGCAAAGTGCCGGAGATGGAAGAACTGGTGAGAGACTGAGACAGACCGTTATGACAGCCATGTTCTGCAAAGTGCCGGAGATGGGAGAACCTGTGAGAGACTGAGGCAGACCATAATGACAGCCATGTTCTGCAAAGTGCCGGAGATGGGAGAACCTGTGAGAGACTGAGGCAGACCGTGATGACAGCCATGTTCTGCAAAGGACTACAAGATGATGACAACAAGCAGAACAGCTCATGACTTGAAAGATTACGAGAATGGGTTTATGATTTTCAGGACTTTATTGGAAAAGTTGCAAGATGATTTACAGCTTTCTTAGGAAAAGTTGCAAAACGTTTTACTTCTTTCTTTAGGAAAATTGTAAGTAGATTACAGCTTTCTTTGGGAAAGTTGCAAGATGATTTAATGACCACTGAGAAAGCTGCAAGATTATTCACAACTTCTTTGGAATTGTTCAAGATTAATTAACATTCTGTGTAGTAAAGTTAGGAAGTAGCTGGCTCAACATTTAGAATGCTGGGCTCTCATGTTGGAATCCTAGATTCAAATCCTAACTACGGTTGTGGACTTTTTATGTTGGGGGCAACAAAAAAAATAGTTTTTTAAATGGCAGTTTGGGAAGTCAAGTCGCAGTGTCAGTGAACATGTAGAAGGGTGAGTTAACGACTTGACCTGGTTTAAAAACAGCAGGATGCATAATGACTTACTTGGGAAAGTAGCAAAATGAGTTGATGACTTTGACCCAGGCCATGTTTGAGTACATGTCAAGGTTCTTTTGTTGGCAGTTCAGCAGCTGTGGCGTTGAAACTTTTGTGGGATCAACTTCACAATCATCAGGGGACTGGACGAGTTGCCTGATGAACTCACCCAAGGTGTCTTGAAGATACTGCCAAAAGCAAATAAGAACATACATTTTGATCTACTGATAAAAGATAAAGTATTTCACAATTTCATTGACAGTAAACATATAACATATATGTGCATTGTTTAGACAGTCCTACTTATGTAAGGGGCGTCCGTGGCTAAGGCGTTGCGAGTCCGACTCGTGAGCCAGCATACCGCGATCGAAACCCACTGCAGGCAGCGTGGATTTTTGTCGTGGTATGGGACGTCGCTGGTCGACCCAGCCTAAAATGGGCACCAGGATGGGCTGTCCTGGGAAAGTAAAGACAGCCGGCGTAATGCTGGCCACATTACCCACAGAGTGCTGATGGTCTGTAAAAATATGGGACGCTCTGCCCATATGCCCGATGCGCCGAAAGGCATGAAAAGGGATCTTTACTTTTTTTTTACTTACTTATGTAAGGCCAGTCATGTATTCATGGAAAATGGAAGGCAGATGAAATTGCAGAAGCTAAAGAGAACTTTCTGCAGCTCCACCCACCACAAAAGTGAAATGATGCTCCCATAAACAAGCTACAGAAACAAGGTGCAGAAACAAAGTGAGGATGACAAACCAGAACATAGTAGCATTTACAAACTAAGCAAATACATCTAGATCAGGATGTTCAGATAATAAAAAATATGGGCAATGAGACAAGTTGTGGGGGAACTGGTAAAGATCTCTGGTACCCTGGTCCGTTCAAAGCCGCCCACAGAATAAACAAACAGCAAACATTTTAAACTGAAGAGACTGACACAGATCTTGCATTTTATTTATTTATTTCATGTTTCAGAGATCAACAAAGATCTAAAAATGTTATCAATCAGTTTCATGTTTCAAATATAGAGACAGATTTTCAGTACAATTTATCTGTTTCACGTTTGATAGATCAAAACCAATCTTTATTATTTTTGTTACTTTCATGTTTCAGATACAGAAAGGGATGGATAGGCACAGATAGGTCATACAAAGACAAATATTATTTAAAAAAAAAAAAAAAACTAACTCAAAGAATTACAAACAGCTGTTACACACAAATAATTTTTAAGTAAAAAACAAAACAAAAATGTACACAAAAATATAATGAAATGCTTACTTTCTCGCCAACAAGTTTCATGTAAGCCTCCATTGCCTTTGTTGCTATACTGTTGCCTCTGAAGGTTAAATGCTCATTGTCTGTACTCGTGTGAAGAGAAACAAATTTTCACTCGTGTTTCACAGCCATAAACAGATATTCATTAGAATGATTAGCAAATTAATTAAATATGTTTAAAACACACCTGCAGCTCAGTTTAACTCGCCATTGGCAGATAACATTTTGTGAATTTGCTTATTTTGTCTGTTAGATCCTATACAACATTAACTTTACCATTTAGCCCTCTTTTTCTTACAGTAACAAACCAATTGTATTTGTTGAAGCATTTACATTTGGAAACCTACTTTCCCTAGGTGATTCTTGTTTTATAATCTCCATAAACTATTTTACATAGGATGTTACGATGTGAGATTTTAAAAAAAACATAAAATACTTGATCTGATTAAAGCTTATGTGTATTTGAAAATAAAAACAAAATATACACTAAGCAAACTATGATCAACTTTACCCCCGTGTGGGTTCCGGGGCCCCATTGTGAGGAAAACAAGAATAGACCCACTGCCTCCCCAAAAGCATGTCGTAAGAGTCGACTAATTGGGGAGCTTCCTTTGAAGTCAGAGTGCATCTGCCAGAGAGGCAAGGAACCAACAGTCTGCATTCAAGAGAATGAGGTCTGTAAAACTGATGCACACGCAACACTCAGGTTCTGGAGCAGGACTGCAGTTCAGTAGTGGATGAGCAACCAGAACTTTCCGCCAGAGTGTACAGCTGGTGAACGCTAAGGAGAAGAAGATCAACTTTTGGAACTGGTTAGGGAATTAACTATCACTGTCAACAAGGAGCCATGGTGACTTTATGCTGGCAAAAAGCTGACCCCAAAAAAGATAAAGACAGAAGAAAATACATAAAGTGTTGCCTTACCTAACTGAGAAATTTCCTCTATGACAATATCAGACAGGAATTCACAGGCTTTCCCTTGTTTCTGGAGCACATGAACAAGGCATGTGGCAAAGTCCTCCTTCTCTCTCACAGTCAGCAGCGGCTCCAACATTTGGCACAACTTCTTGTAGTCATTACTTAAGTACTGTAGAATCAAATGTACAGGCACAAAGATGACACTACTGATCAAACATAGGCAGCAGCAATCACCAGCAAAATGTAGTTTAGAAACTATTTATTAAGGCAACAATTTCAGTTTTCACTTAGATGTGTAGATTCTATAAGGAGGGAACGATGAGACGAAAGGAGCATAATGAAGTGACTTGTGTTGAGATTCATGCAAATCTGTTTATCGATACAGTAATAGAATTAAATGCTTCTACCTCACTTTCAGTTAGCTTAATATAATATCTGCAAGTATGTTGATAAAGTTCAAAAGTCAAGAGGATTAACTTCATTGCACCCGGTTATATCCCACCTGTCTCGGTCTCTCTCCACAGTGCTGCCTCAAAAAGTAAAATAAAGTACAAACTCTGTAGCTGGGGTGATGATCCGCATGAGTCTCTAAACAACTTAACAATGCAGCTGTGAAACAAACCCATAATCTTCAGAGAGCAAGGCAAAAGTCTTGACCACTTTGTCATGGAGACCTACTAACAACTGTATTATATTAAAGGCTACCTACTGTAATTTTCTGAACAATGTAGTTCTTATTACAAAATTCTCTTCTCTTGCTGTGTTTTATTCCCAGCAACCTGCTCATTCTAAGCCCGTAATTCCCTCTAATGAAACTGCCATATTATACAAAGAGAATATGAAATAAGGTAGAAAATGTGACAACATTTTTGGTTTTGGCCAGCTGGCTTATTTTTCATGATTTGCTATACTTTCGGGCAAGCTTTTTCTGTGGAAAGAAAAACATGGCCCCATACCGCCAACAACAGACTTCGTATGTTACAAGTGAAATATTCTAGGTTTCTGACATAGGCAGTGATAAGATTTACATACACATTCTTGGAATGGTCTAGAGTCTAGTAATCAGATGTTATATTCAATAAAGCATCTAATTTTTGTGATTAAATGTATGGTGTTTCTGTGGCCGACAGAGAAAGTTGACTTGGCCAAGCTGTGAACACAATTCCTTGCTTTGTAACTGTGATATTTTAGGACTTTCAGTCATTATGGAGTTTTTAACTGTGGCAAGTTTACTGACAACTGGTGGTCGCTGCATTTTCCTCTATATGTAGACTGAAATGACATAGTTTCGTCACCCAGTTACTGAGCTGAGTGCATGGTATGACACAGTGAGCTGAGGACTTTCATTTTGAATGCTTTTCGACTACAGTACGGGATGGCTGTGAACTGCAGATTTACAAAATAGGAAGGGCCTGTTGCTACATAACTGGCGGTGCCTTATGTGATTAATCATGTGTGCAACTACTGATCGGTTGTACCTGCTGCTTCATCAATAATGAACTGCATTTCTGTTTGTGTTGGCATATCTGACAGCTGTCTCATGCATTTAATGTGTGTCGTGCTATTGGATATGCATTTAGTTTCCTGTTTGGCAGTGTCAAAAATCCTTGTGTAGTAAATGTATGTTGTATTGATAGATTATACAAAGCATACACAAGTGGAAAACTGATAAAATTATAATTATAAAATATGAACAACTGATAACTTGATATGCAGAAGATCTGAAAACAATTTAAAAGCTAATAAAAGATCAGTGAGAAAATTCACCTTAATGAAAGACTGATATGCTTCAAGAGGTAGAATATCGACAGTTTGTCTCCGGGCCTTCAAGCGAATGATGGGCAAGTCATTCTTGGTTTCTTTGCCTGCTTTCCCAACAGTGCCTGAGTTGCATGTGATCCTGCCAGATAAATGTATACTTGTATTACCTCAGTGAAATAATGGTTAGTTCACGTTGTTTACCATGACAGTGAGTGCGTTCAATCACCCAGGGTGGCAGGGTTTTGTTCAAATTTACCCCTCAAGGAAGTGATTTAAAGAGCCATTGTTTGAGTGAAAATCCAACAGGATCAAATCCCAGAAACCCAGTTCAAACGTATAACAGTAGGATCCTTGTCAGTACAGCTCTGAAGCCTGACCCAGGCTAATAAAATTGGTACAGGATTATTTTCTAGTCATTCACAACAAAGGTAACATTGAACAGAACATGCCACCCAAATGTATTATTCCATATTCTATGACATGCAAATATTTCATACCCGAATGGTAGATATTTGTCATGGGCTTTTTCTTCTTCTTCTTCTCTTCACAAGCCTTGTGGCACTGCCATTTTATAACTGGGATATGATGTCACTCACTTGGCCAGATAATCAGTTACATGTGCAAGATTTAAAAAAACAGATGATTAATGAAATGATCATGTCTACACAAAAATATAGTTTCCTTTAGCAAATTTATTCACTCGTTGCTCATTAAACACACTTTCATAGATATAAGTCAGACCTACAATGTCTAAATACAGAGACTGCAGTATCCACATAATAATTCCAAAAACATTCTACATTCAGGATGAGTGTAGAAAATTAAAAAAGTCAAGGGAGGCTGAATAGATTAGAAATGCAGCAAAATGTCTCAACTGAAAAACTGTCTAGTGCAGATCTAGCTGTGAAAGACTTAACTGATACAATTTAGAATATGAAAATGAACTCTGCGTAGTACATCAGATGCCTGGTAGTTGGTGGATAAATGTGGCCATATATGTGGTCTTATGCGTGCATGGACATAGGTTTAACATAGCAGAGTCAATGCCAACATGGGTAAAGATGGAATAGAAAGTTTGTTTCAACAGGGATAAAGATTAAATAATACAATGCATGCATCTTTCCTATTGCAACATACGCCTGTGAGACCTGGACACTTACTAAACAAGCTGAACAGCGCACAAATACCTTTGAAATGTTATAGACAGGTTCTAATAATATTATAGGTAAGGAAAAGAACAAATGCATCCATATTTCAAGAATTAAATACTGAAGAAGATTGGCTATTAAAGACGATAAAACACAGAAAATTGAAATATTCTGGTCACTTGAAACGTCAACAAGTTTAGAGAGAACAATAATAGAGGAGTATATGCCTGGAAAGAGAGGAAGAGGAAGGCCAAAGAGAAAATGAGTGCAGGATGTGGTGAATTATCTCCAGATGGGTGAATCAGGACATCTTGCTTCTAATCAAGAAGTTTTCTGGAGGGTTGTTATGGAAGCAAAGTTCTGCAAAGGACATGCTACTGACTGATTGAATATAATGCCCCAAGTCCCCCCCCCCCCCCCCCCCCGAGTGGGTTCCGGGGCCCCATTGTGGGGAAAACAAGAATAGACCCACTGCCTCCCCAAAAGCATGTAAGAGTCGACTAATTGGGGAGCTTCCTTTGAAGTCGGAGTGAATCTGCCAGAGAGGCAAGGAACCAACAGTCTGTATTCAAGAGAATGAGATCTGTAAAACTGATGCACACACAACACTCAGGTTCTGGAGCAGGACTGCAGTTCAATAGTGGACGAGCAACCAGAACTTTCCACCAGAGTGTACAGCTGGTGAACACGAAGAAGAAGAAGAATAATAATACCGATAAAGTGATAAAAGGTCTCACACAAACATGAATAAAGATGAAATAATAAAAGGCTCTGTGTGGGCATGGAAAAGGTGAATAGAAGGTTCTGTGTGACTGATGTACACAATAAAAGTCCTCTGCTCTTGGACACTGTACGGATGAAGCCTACGGTTCTCAGGTACAAACTGTCTATATATCAAGTTCCACTGTAACTGTATGGATGATGCCTACGGTTCTCAGGTACAAACTGTCTATATATCAAGTTCCACTGTAACTGTACGGATGATGCCTACGGTTCTCAGGTACAAACTGTCTATATATCAAGTCCCACTGTAACTGTAGGCGGCCCGTCACCCAAGATAAAGACCATCCCTTTAATGATTTCAAGCTTACCATTTTTCAACCAGCTGCCGGTTCTCAAAGTCAGATAGCAACAAGTTCACATAACCTGGAAGGTAAAGAAGATTCAGCATGAGAATATTAGCACTTACAGTATAATCATGTAGTAATGTGATGTATAACAGCACAGCAGATAGTACACCTGCTTGACAGCTCAGTGGTCTAGGTTTGAGTGCCAGTCTTGGAAGGATTGTTGCCCCATTCAAACAGTGGCACCAGAGATTAACATGCAAGGTAGATGCCTGCTGGTCCAAAGAGCTTGAGTTCAAAACTGAACTGTTGCTGATTTGTGTGTGTGTGTTTAAATAACTGATCTTGATTGTCAGAGTCACCCTGGAAATACCCTGGTAAACAAAGACAGACAGTATGTTTACTACATCACCCAGGAAATGCCCTGGTAAACAAAGGCAGCCAGCATGTTTACCACATCACCCAGGAAATACCCTGGTAAACAAAGACAGCAGCATGTTTACTACATCACAAAGGAAATGCCCTGGTAAACAAAGACAGCCAGCATGTTTACCACTTCACCCAGGAAATGCCCTGGTAAACAAAGGCAGCCAGCATGTTTACCACTTCACCCAGGAAATGCCCTGGTAAACAAAGGCAGCCAGCATGTTAACCACATTACCCAGGAAATGCTCTGGTAAACAAAGACAGCAGCATGTTTACTACATCACCCAGGAAATACCCTGGTAAACAAAGGCAGCCAGCATGTTTACCACATCACCCAGGAAATGCCCTGGTAAACAAAGGCAGCCAGCATGTTTACCACATCACCCAGGAAATACCCTGGTAAACAAAGACAGACAGCATGTTTACCACATCACCCAGGAAATGCCCTGGTAAACAAAGGCAGCCAGTATGTTTACCACATCACCCAGGAAATGCCCTGGTAAACAAAGGCAGCCAGCATGTTTACTACATCATCCATGAAATACCCTGGTAAACAAAGACAGCAGCATGTTTACTACATCACCCAGGAAATGCCCTGATAAACAAAGTCAGCCAGAATGTTTACCACATCACCCAAGAAATACCCTGGTAAACAAAGGCAGACAAAATGTTTACCACATCCCCCAGGAAATACCCTGGTAAACAAAGACAGCCAAAATGTTTAACACATCACCAATGAAATACCCTGGTAAACAAAGGCAGCCAAAATGTTTAACACATCACACATGAAAAACTCTGGTAAACAAAGGCAGCCAGTATGTTTACCACATCACCCAAGAAATACCCTGGTAAACAAAGGCAGCCAGTATGTTTACCACTTCACCCAAGAAATACCCTGGTAAACAAAGGCAGCCAGCATGTTTACCACATCACCCAGAAAATGCCCTGATAAACAAAGGCAGCCAAAATGTTTAACACATCACCTAGGAAATGCCCTGGTAAACAAAGACAGCCAGCATGTTTACCACATCACCCAGGAAATGCCCTGGTAAACAAAGACAGCCAAAATGTTTAACACATCACCCAGGAAATACCCTGGTAAACAAAGACAGCCAAAATAATTAACACATCACCTAGGAAATACCCTGGTAAACAAAGACAGCCAGCATGTTTACCACTTCACCCAGGAAATACCCTGGTAAACAAAGGCAGCCAGTATGTTTACCACATCCCCAAGGAAATACCCTGGTAAACAAAGTCAGCCAGCATGTTTACCACATCACCCAGGAAATGCCCTGGTAAACAAAGTCATCAGCATGTTTACTACATCACCCAGGAAATGCCCTGGTAAACAAAGACAGCCAGTATGTTTACTACATCACTGAGGAAATACCCTGGTAAACAAAGACAGCCAGTATGTTTACTACATCACCCAGGAAATACCCTGGTAAACAAAGGCAGCCAGCATGTTTACCACATCACCCAGGAAATGCCCTGGTAAACAAAGGCAGCCAGTATGTTAGCCACATCACCCAGGAAATACCCTGGTAAACAAAGACAGCCAGTATGTTAGCCACATCACCCAGGAAATGCCCTGGTAAACAAAGACAGCAGCTTGTTTACCACATCACCCAGGAAATACCCTGGTAAACAAATACACCAGCATGTTTACCACATCACCCAGGAAATACCCTGGTAAACAAAGGCAGCCAGCATGTTTACTACATCACCCAGGAAATGCCCTGGTAAACAAAGACAGCCAGTATGTTTACCACTTCACCCAGGAAATACCCTGGTAAACAAAGGCAGCCAGCATGTTTACCACATCACCCAGGAAATGCCCTGGTAAACAAAGACAGCCAAAATGTTTAACACATCACCCAGGAAATGCCCTGGTAAACAAAGACAGCAGCATGTTTACCACATCACCCAGGAAATACCCTGGTAAACAAAGGCAGCTAGCATGTTTACTACATCACCCAGAAAATGCCCTGGTAAACAAAGGCAGTCAGCATGTTTACTTCATCACAAAGGAAATACCCTGGTAAACAAAGACAGCCAGTATGTTTATCACATCACACAAGTGTTGGCTGGTCTATATAACATTATGGGTCTACACAATCTACCAAAAGTGTCACTGGCTAGAAAAGGATCCTTTCCCTCACTTACTATGGAAAGGATGGTCTCAGGGAATAATTCTGATGTCTTCACGCAGCCACCTACATAGTTCTGTATATTCATGGATACAGATAAATGATAGCTGCAATGGACACGTAATGCTATACAACCTAGCAATATTGAATGCAAAAAATTGGCAGAACACAACAAATAATCTTAAAACAGTACCCAATACTATAGACAACAAGAACACTGAAGTTTTCTCTTCTCCTAATAGTCCTTCTAATAGCTTTGAGGTGTTAATCATCATGTCTGCCCCCCAGCCTTCTGTCTCATGTACCTACAACCATTTATGACATCAATGTTTCTTTCAGCCACCATGCTGAACCGTCAAACATCCTCTCATTAGGTACATCACATGACGAGGTCGATATCTTTCATAATTTTAGCAATTAAACAAGCAAACAAACAGACATGAGGTTTTCATCATCACAAACTACTGCCTGTCTCATAGCACTGTAACCCACCATATACTATAACCCATCAAACACCTGTTGTAACCCACCACACACCACCACCCAACAAACACCTGTTGTAACCTACCACATACCACAACCCATTAAACACCTGTTGTAACCCATCACATACCACAACCCATTAAACACCTGTTGTAACCTACCACATACCACAACCTATTAAACACCTGTTGTAACCCATCACATACCACAACCCATCAAAAACCAGTCGTAACCCACCATACACCACAACCCATCAAACACCTATCGTAAACCACCAGACATAACTATCTATACAACACACAAAAAGTGAGACTAATGCAGTCAAGTTGATAACAAGAGATAGTTTAACACAACATAAACCCCGAATAGAAAGATTGTTTTTACTTGTGCACATATGTTCCTTTCCTCCATTCAGAATTTTAACCAGTTTGTGTTATCTTAAATTAACCCCATACACAGCAAAAAGAGACAACTACTCACCAACTAATGTGTTTTTATCTTTCTTCTTCTTCTTGTCTGCTTCTCTGTACAAATTGACAGTGATGATCTCCACAACCGGCAAATTTCTGGGGAAAGTATACAAAAGGCTGTGCATTTCTCAACAGGAAATAGTCAGCATAGAGGCTAATAATCCTGCGAAACACGAGTGATCCAGATTCTAACCCTAGCGGGAAAATTTTTCACTTTGCCAGACAGTACAGACCTAGGATAAACCTGAATGACATAATGGACATCAGATCATTTGTGCAGTGAGGGTGGGAACTGGTGAACCAACCTTGCTCTGTCATGGCCTACAATATGTGAAGGACTCTAAAAATTAAAGCCAGTATTTACAAAGGACCTTTATTTTTTCCTAAATGATACCTAAAGACCAGCACAGTGACCATACTGAAGCAACCATGCTATTGGATGGCCTGTAACAGTTTTGATTATGTTCATACCCACACTGGTGGTCAGTCTATGCTTACAGCTTAAACCAAACTGACCAAATATATACATAACCTATTTAGTGACAGCAATACAGTGACAACAAAACTTGTGACACCACAAACTTACCTTGTCTAAGTTCTACACTTATGTAATTATATTACCCTCATTAATCAAAACCATTCCATAAGGTTACATAATGAACTTAACTTATTAAAATCCTTCAGTAATATGATACTACTGACCTCATTCATCAAAATCCTTCACCATTGTAATACTACTGACCACACTTATCAAACTTGTTCAGAGGGAAGAGAAGTGTTTGGGGGTTCGCAGTAAAAGCCAATGGAAAATCTTTAGTGCAGGACAGTCTAGCATACAAAACCACCACGTCTAGCATGAGAATGGATGTGGAGGCGGTAAGTGCAGCTTTCTGGTGGCTAGAGAACAAGATGAATGCACATGTCATAATTGTAACAGACTCTGAAAGCATGTTGAAAAGGTGAAGACAGGGATATTTTAAGCTGAGTGGCAAGCTTCACTGGGAAGGGCATACTTTGGATCTTTACTCCAGGCTATGCTGGCGTGGTGGGGAATGAACAGGCAGACAGATTGGCTGGATCTGCACCACTGGGTGGTGAACTGAGACATGACAAGGCAGATGTGGTCAGGGCCCTTTGGGAACAAGTAACGAGTCAGAAGTGAAACATGATTATAATGGCCTGAAGAGAACGAGGCAATTGGGTGTAACAAGGGAGTCTGGTGGCTCACTACACTCAGAGGAAAGGCAAGACAGACATATAACCAGATTGCGACCGGTAACATTAGTATTGGAACTCTGCGCTGGCTGCTGAAGATGAGGACGGAGCATGCATGAGAATGCCCCGAGTGCTGTGATGTCAATTCTTGACTCAACACTTATCCAAATCCTTCACTGTTGTGATACCACTGACCGCACTCATCAGAAAATCATTCACTGATGTAATAATAGTGACTGTATAGCATTCATCAGACTTATTCACTGATGTGATACTACTGATTTTGTTTATGAAAATCCTACACCCCTGTGATACTGCTGACTTAAGTCATCAAATTCAGTGTGATACAATGGTCCTTACTCATCAAATGTCATGTAATACTACTGACCTCACACATCACAGACTATCAACAATGTGATACTATTGACATTCCACATCAAAGACCTTGCCACAACTAGACAAAGCCTCACAACTATATGTTTTACTGCCTCACCGACTAGTCTTAGCCCCACAACTATATGTTTTACTGCCTCACTGACTAGTCTAAACCTCACAACTATATGTTTTACTGCCTCACTGACTAGTTTTAGCCCCACAACTATATGTTTTACTGCCTCACTGACTAGTCTTAGCCCCACAACTATATGTTTTACTGCCTCACTGACTAGTCTTAGCCCCACAACTATATGTTTTACTGCCTCACTGACTAGTCTTAGGCCCACAACTATATGTTTTACTGCCTCACCGACTAGTCTTAGCCCCAAACCATATATTATGCCACTGATTCAACTGTTTATAGCACCAGAATTAAAACAAATTTTCCAAAATACGTCCTTCATTTGTAACAGTCGTACAAATATGTGATACTGCTGCTGTCTCTTGTAAGTAAAATATATATGTTCTACTTCTTCACACATTGGTTGCTATAACATACTCACTTAAACTCAAAATGCTCTCCCCAGAATAACATGTCTGTCATCATCTTCAGCGAGGTTTGGGCGTACAAGGTTCGGTCCAAAAGAATATCACAGAAATATCTGAGGAGAAAAGGCAAACATCTGTTGTTGATTCCAGGAGATCCTCTGGTTGTGCAAGTGGGTCAAGAACTGTTGACTGTGATTTCTGCTGCAGCTGGTCGACAAGCTGTGTGTCTTCTTGTGTCAGGATAAGTTCTGAATCTTGATTCTTCATTCAGAAACTATACAATCTTCAACTTTGAATACCTATGATGCATTCAAGGTTAGGATCGAAGAAATAATCAACCTAGTATGGGATTTGTCGTTGAAGCAGCTTGCTATGTTACAGGACAGTATGCATGGGAATGCCCAGTGTACAGTGATGTTGACTTGGATAACATAACTATGAAATTTCAACTTACATTCATGTCTCTATGCTCTCTGGTATGCTTGTATGGCATAGCATTATAGATTGTTCAAAAGAAACACATACATTCCTAAACTTTTGATTTTCAACCCAAGCAAATAATTTCTGGATCAATGTTCATTGAATACCTGTACATTACTCAACACATGGAGGTGCTATCAGTTTATTACTGGTAGTGCATGCATAGGCTTGACTACTCTTTATCTCAGGGAGGGGGGGACACAGACAGAGAGAGAAACACACACACACACAGAGTGAAAGAGACAGAGAGAAAGAGAGAGAAAGAGACAGCAGCTGATGGAATGCTAGGAAGAATCCATAACACTATATGTAAGAGCTGATAAAGAATTCAGTAAAAGAGACGCAAATATATTATACAAGTAGAGAGAAAAGAACACCTGACATCATCATCACTTTTACAGAGCATTCAAGTCAACACATTGTAAGAAACAGCCCCTGAAGACGACGCTCAGTGAAACTCAGATTACAAAAAGAGCAAGTGAGTCTGGATCATGTCTATCTGCACGTATGAATGAGAAAGGTGATAAATGAATGAAGAAAGTGTTGCTGATAATTACTTATGAGACAACAACAGTGCTTGTTAAATGAAGATATTGATACAATAAAGTATGCAGTGCTGGCACCTATATGGCCTTTATAACACTCTCATCTGGAAAAACTGAGAGACACCAAACACAGAACAGTGTATACGGGAGACAAAACTTTTTTTGAGAAGGCACAAAGACATACAAATAGTCTAAATTATAATCTATTCATAGGGCTGAAATGATCAGTTGAACAGAGACCCATCATATCATGGACTGTTGAACAGAGACCCATCAAATCATGGACTGTTGAACAGAGACCCATCAAATCATGGACTGTTGAACAGAGACCCATCATATCATGGACTGTTGAACAGAGACCCATCAAATCATGGACTGTTGAACAGAGACCCATCATATCATGGACTGTTGAACAGAGACCCATCATATCATGGACTGTTGAACAGAGACCCATCATATCATGGACTGTTGAACAGAGACCCATCAAATCACTGTTGGGGACAAACCTTCAGTCAGAAGATCCTAATGGCAAACAAGCACAAACATGTAGAGAAGCTACCAGAAGTGTAACAAATGTACCTTGACTGCCAGATCAATCTTTCAACTTCATAATGACTAATGAACTCCTCTCTGATTTTATGCAGACACTGAAAGTGTTTGTTTGATTTGTACTGATAGGTAATTAAACAGAAATGTATGCTCGTAACCATTGGTCGTTATTTATGGGTTAATGAATATCAAATAAGTCTGAGCAGAAGGGTTCAACAAACAGATGATACATCCCTGAAGGTGAAGACAGACAGAATAACAAGGGAAAGTATCCGTTGACTGCTGTAAAATTGTGGGGTCACATGACCCTTCATCTCATTTACATACAACTGTTACTACATACAGGTAAACTCAGGGCTTTGTTCCCTTGGAAGTGTCTAAGAAAGATGCCAGTACACACCACAAAGTGTCTAAACAAAATGCTGTACTCACAACAAAGTATCTATGACTGTAGCGCTGCAACTACTTGTGCAGAAAGGAAATCAGCTCTGTCATTACTCTATACTTACAAAGAAATACTAGTACATTAATAATGACTGGCTCTTTCTGTCTGCATATGTGTGGTTTAATGTGAATGTGTTGAGAGGGATGAAAGCAGGCTCAACAAAAGCAAGGACAGACATCTCCAGGGACAGGAAAATCTCACCTTTTCTTGGTGGCCACATTCTTAGCTTCTAGTATCCATAATTTCAGTGAACTGTCAGACCGCTTGGAGTGCTCTTCATGAGGTCGGATTGTTCGCCGCAGACTGGAGACGACATAAACATGTACCCAATAACTACAAAGTCACACACACACACACACACACAAAAGTGGATCCAATATTGCCATCATCCTACAAAGTTGTGTGTAGTTGGTTTACAGGAAAAGTAATCTTGGCACTCATAAAGTCAAATCTTGAAGGGCAAGCTCTACTGTTTGGTCTCTCCAGAAGTGACTTAAGTAGTCTCCATGGTGTAGTGATCAAGCTCTTTGCGTTTAAAGGTCTTGGGTTCCATTCACGGCTGTGTTGTTTAATTCACTAGTGCAATTTTTACAGAGACCCCTGGAGATTATTGCCAACCATAGCTACAGCGTTTATGCTTTCTGCGATGCTCTCGACAGGTTGTCAGCCATTCTGTGAGAGAGACTGAGATATAGGGGTTAAAATTTAGTGCAATGAAGTCAATCATTTTGACCACACAAAAAAAAACAGCTAGTTCCCATTTTGTTAAACATTTGAACCTCAACAATCCCTTGCTATTTTTTTCTTCAGTGCACAACAATATGTTGGTTATTACTATAGTGGAATCACAAATGTGGTCTTCAGAATGTCTACAGCTGCTGAAGATTGAGGCAGAATATTAATGGGGATGACTTGCATGTTCAGGTCTCTGCTCTTAACTATTTTTGACTGTTCACTTGATCTCCTCAATTCTTGCTTTATCTTCAGTTTGAGTCTTTCATTCCCCTTCCTATAACTGTCGTCCATTTCCAAACATAGTGTCAAGAAACATAGCTGTTTGCGGTCTTGGATTTGTAACTGATATCTTTTAGTGCTTCTGTCTGCCAGTGTGATTCCTGCACTGCACTACCATAAACAATACTAGTTTGCATTTAACTCCACCTAGGCAGCTGCAAATTATACTTTATATAAAGGAGAAGGGAGGCTACCTTCAAAAACCATATGCTTCCTCAGAGACAGGCAAGGGATAGGCTTAGAAATCATAAATTTCTGACAACGAATTCCAATGAATAATTGACAAGACAGTACACAACCATGTTCTCATCGCTGACCAATTTATCTTGTTATGTCTGCATCACACTGTTGCCTTCTAACTTATCTTGTTTTGTCTGCATCACACTGTTGCCTTCTAACTTATCTTGTTTTGTCTGCATCACACTGTTGCCTTCTAACTTATCTTGTTTTGTCTGCATCACACTGTTGCCATCTAACTTATCTTGTTTTGTCTGCATCACACTGTTGCCTTCTAACTTATCTTGTTTTGTCTGCATCACACTGTTGCCTTCTAACTTATCTTGTTTTGTCTGCATCACACTGTTGCCTTCTAACTTATCTTGCTATGTCTGTATCACACTGTTGCCATCTATCTCATCTTCTTATGTCTGCATCACACTGTTGCCTTCTAACTTATCTTGTTTTGTCTGCATCAAACTGTTGCCTTCTAACTTATTTTGTTTTGTCTGCATCACACTGTTGCCTTCTAACTTATCTTGTTTTGTCTGCATCACACTGTTGCCATCTATCTCATCTTGTTATGTCTGCATCACACTATTGCCTTCTATCTCATCTTCTTATGTCTGCATCACACTGTTGCCTTCTAACTTATCTTGTTTTGTCTGCATCACACTATTGCCTTCTATCTCATCTTCTTATGTCTGCATCACACTGTTGCCTTCTAACTTATCTTGCTATGTCTGCATCACACTGTTGCCATCTATCTCATCTTCTTATGTCTGCATCACACTGTTGCCTTCTAACTTATCTTGTTTTGTCTGCATCACACTGTTGCCTTCTAACTTATCTTGCTATGTCTGCATCACACTGTTGCCTTCTAACTTATCTTGTTTTGTCTGCATCACACTGTTGCCTTCTAACTTATCTTGCTATGTCTGCATCACACTGTTGCCTTCTAACTTATCTTGCTATGTCTGCATCACACTGTTGCCTTCTAACTTATCTTGTTATGTCTGCATCACACTGTTGCCATCTCATCTTGTTTTGTCTGCATCACACTGTTGCCATCTATCTCATCTTGTTATGTCTGCATCACACTGTTGCCTTCTAACTTATCTTGTTTTGTCTGCATCACACTGTTGCCATTTATCTCATCTTCTTATGTCTGCATCACACTGTTGCCTTCTAACTTATCTTGTTTTGTCTGCATCACACTGTTGCCTTCTAACTTATCTTGTTTTGTCTGCATCACACTGTTGCCTTCTAACTTATCTTGTTTTGTCTGCATCACACTGTTGCCTTCTAACTTATCTTGTTTTGTCTGCATCACACTGTTGCCTTCTAACTTATCTTGTTTTGTCTGCATCACACTGTTGCCTTCTAACTTATTTTGTTTTGTCTGCATCACACTGTTGCCATCTAACTTATCTTGTTTTGTCTGCATCACACTGTTGCCTTCTAACTTATCTTGTTTTGTCTGCATCACACTGTTGCCATCTAACTTATCTTGTTTTGTCTGCATCACACTGTTGCCTTCTAACTTATCTTGTTTTGTCTGCATCACACTGTTGCCTTCTAACTTATCTTGTTTTGTCTGCATCACACTGTTGCCTTCTAACTTACCTTGCTATGTCTGTATCACACTGTTGCCATCTATCTCATCTTCTTATGTCTGCATCACACTGTTGCCTTCTAACTTATCTTGTTTTGTCTGCATCACACTGTTGCCTTCTAACTTATTTTGTTTTGTCTGCATCACACTGTTGCCTTCTAACTTATCTTGTTTTGTCTGCATCACACTGTTGCCATCTATCTCATCTTGTTATGTCTGCATCACACTGTTGCCATCTATCTCATCTTCTTATGTCTGCATCACACTGTTGCCTTCTAACTTATCTTGTTTTGTCTGCATCACACTGTTGCCTTCTAACTTATTTTGTTTTGTCTGCATCACACTGTTGCCTTCTAACTTATCTTGTTTTGTCTGCATCACACTGTTGCCATCTATCTCATCTTGTTATGTCTGCATCACACTGTTGCCTTCTATCTCATCTTCTTATGTCTGCATCACACTATTGCCTTCTATCTCATCTTCTTATGTCTGCATCACACTGTTGCCTTCTAACTTATCTTGTTTTGTCTGCATCACACTATTGCCTTCTATCTCATCTTCTTATGTCTGCATCACACTGTTGCCTTCTAACTTATCTTGCTATGTCTGCATCACACTGTTGCCATCTATCTCATCTTCTTATGTCTGCATCACACTGTTGCCTTCTAACTTATCTTGTTTTGTCTGCATCACACTGTTGCCTTCTAACTTATCTTGCTATGTCTGCATCACACTGTTGCCTTCTAACTTATCTTGTTTTGTCTGCATCACACTGTTGCCTTCTAACTTATCTTGCTATGTCTGCATCACACTGTTGCCTTCTAACTTATCTTGCTATGTCTGCATCACACTGTTGCCTTCTAACTCATCTTCTTATGTCTGCATCACACTGTTGCCATCTATCTCATCTTGTTATGTCTGCATCACACTGTTGCCATCTATCTCATCTTGTTTTGTCTGCATCACACTGTTGCCATCTATCTCATCTTGTTATGTCTGCATCACACTGTTGCCTTCTAACTTATCTTGTTTTGTCTGCATCACACTGTTGCCATCTATCTCATCTTCTTATGTCTGCATCACACTGTTGCCTTCTAACTTATCTTGTTTTGTCTGCATCACACTGTTGCCATTTATCTCATCTTCTTATGTCTGCATCACACTGTTGCCTTCTAACTTATCTTGTTTTGTCTGCATCACACTGTTGCCTTCTAACTTATCTTGCTATGTCTGCATCACACTGTTGCCTTCTAACTTATCTTGCTATGTCTGCATCACACTGTTGCCTTCTAACTTATCTTGTTATGTCTGCATCACACTCTTGCAGTCTATCTCACCTTGCCATGACTAGTTCTAAACTATTTCTCATCTTGGTATGACTAGTTTTTTAGGCTGTCTCTTTCATCTCATTATGACTAGCTACCACTCCTATATATCTCATCTTCCTATGACTGTTTCCCACTGCAGTCTTCTATTCTACGCTAGTGTGACTAGCTTTCACTCGAGCTGCCTGTCTGTTTGACTAGTCCCTATTCTTGCAGCATATTTTCTGTGAAACTAAAGACAAAATTGAAAAGTGGAGTCACCTGAGTGGCGTCTCTAGAGCAGCAAAATGTCCTCCATAGCCAGCTGACTTGCACATGTTATTACAATCACAAGTAAAACAAGGTCAACCACAATAAAGTCATACCTGGAAATCCACTTGTCCCTCTCCTCCGATGTTGTGCAGGAAATGTATTTGCTCCCTTGGGATGTGGACACGTGGAAGCAGTGGCCCTGACCTAGCACACTGCTGTGAAGCGGCTTGACCTCTACATCAGGGGCACTGAGGTCAATAGAGTGCATGCTGGGAGGGCTGGCTAGCAGAGATTCATGAGATCTAGAGCTCCGAATCCTGGCACTGATAAGAGATCTGAGATGGAAACGAGAAAAACAGACAATGTCAAATATATGTGATAAACAGATGATATTTACAAATGTTCATAATTTAACCAAATGGAGGTACATGCCAAACTACATCCAGTCCCCAGGACTCAGTGCATAGAATGTGTTAACACTGGACATTACAGTCCATTGCTGCTCTGTCCTTCTCTTCTGCAGCCAATAAACAGTGGTAACCTGTGCGCTTAGTTGCTTAAGCCAGCGGGGGTAGGCAGAAAAGCCACATAATTCCCAGATTTATGGTATGTATCATGGAATCAAGACCGATATCCACAGTACCGAGCCAAAGGGTTTACAACTCATATCTCCTGAATCAATTTTTAAAAAAATCAATGAATTCGGGATAACATCAGGTAAATCCTCTGCTCTCTCTCCTCCTGATGAATGAATCTCATCTGGAATGGGTGTTCAGTCCTTTGTGCCTCTGATCATCAAGGGATTTCACCACACCCACTTTGTCCTAAAGCTGATCGTCACTCAGGCCGAATAGTTGCGGTTGGGCTGAATACGAATAGTGGTTACCTTACTCCCGTTTCTGCATACACTGTGATGGACTGAAATAACTCTCTCATTAACACAATAGTTGATGTTGCCTAAGTCTGTTGTAGCGGCGGAAACTTCGACCCGGTTGCGTGGTACAAACTGCATAAAATGACAACCGCAGTGTGTGTGTGAGTGTGTTTCTGTGTGTGTGAGAGAGAGAGAGAGAGAGAGAGAGAGAGAGAGAGAGAGAGAGAGAGAGAGAGAGAGAGAGAGAGAGAGAGAGAGAGAGAGGGGGAGAGAGAGAGAGATCATGCATTTTTCGTTCTTTCGGGGTGTTTTCGCCCAAATCAAATTCGAAGATATTGTTAAAGAGAATATGAAGATGAGTTTAAATTACATCGAACGAACGGCCGAGCGAACGATGGTTTTGAAAGAGGCGGGAGCCCGAAGACAACTAATCACAGACATCAGAAGGAGACAGTCGTCATTTTTTCAGCCATGTTATGAGAAGAGGGAAAATAGAACATTTGGTGACCACTAGAAAGATCTGTGAAAGGAGGGAAAGAGGAAGACAACGACAGAAGATTCTTGACAGTCTTGTTGCGTGGCATGGAGGTGTGTCAGCACGCTAACTAATACATGCTGCAGGAGATAGCAGATTGTGGAGAGGCATGATCGCCCACGCCAATCGGCAAGGCACCTGATGATGATGACCCTAATCGTATTCGTATTCGGTCGAATAGTTGGTCCCACTATTCGTATTCGGCCGAATAGTGAAAATCACTATTCGGTACAGCCCTACTTATTTACATGTGCCAGTACTTTTTTGTCCTGGAGGCACCTTCTTTATGCATGCTAGTTTTTCCCCCCAGCAATACTGCAGTAGACATTGTTTGGTAAGTATGGCATCTTTTTAAACCCTTCTGGTGAGTACCGGCACCTCTCCCCAACCCCCCCCCCCCCTCCCTTTTCCTCCATGTATACGGTCGGTGAATCATCTTGGAGCAACTATTTAAAAACTGACATTAAAAAAAAAAAATGTTGAAAAAAAAAATATATTTTAAAAATGCATCAGAAACGGAACATTTAAAAATAAGTACACAACGAGAATCAAAGGCCAAAGTTGTTCTCGGCTGTAGGACAGGGCTGCCAGGGCTGTCGAGGTTGGTACTTGTGTACACATTTGGTACTACCTGGTCCTTGTCGAAAACAATTTTTTGTGGTACCACGCCTAAAGCTTTGGTAAGCTTTAGAAATTGCGCATCAGTATTTCAATTATTGGCATTGCGGCCAACATAGGGGAGAAAAAAAAAAACAGTTAGTGACCGAAGCGAAAATAAGCCTGAGTTAATTGCTGACGCAAATGTACCATTTGACATGATTGATCTAAGTGCGCTTTCGTTTCGGTTTCAAAGACCAGTGTATGAGTGTCCACCCAAACAACTAGCAGACGGTTCTCTTTCGTGTCTTCTGTCGTTCAAATTTATTCGACGCTCGAGTTTTTCTTATTCAGTTTTACTTTGAAGCATTTTGTGACATTTTCCAGTTTCTGTCTCTTCTTTAACTGATTTTTAAGTTAACCAAATGAGCGAGCTTAAAAATATGAATGTTAGTTCGGACAGTGACGATAATAACTAAGAAAAATGAGAAGAGGAAAATCACTGTCTAGTAGTATCAAAATGCATGCTGGTCTTTTGGCCATACCTCATTCATCTACAGATGAAGTTTCCTTTACAAATATTTGAGCCTTAAAAAAATGGGTACAACTGACCCAACAAAACTTCGGCAGCCCTGTTGTCGGATAGAGCTATTTGTGGCAGAGACACGCTGGTGCCGGCGTGCCAGGCAATTGATGCGGCTGCCGATTGATTAGCGGCCTTTCTGAGCTGCTATTCACAGGCACTGATGATTACAATGGCGCCAGTCATTGAACCCTCTACGGAGAAGTTGTTAACGATCACAGAGCGTCACCTCGCACAAGTGTATAATAAGTGTTCGATAATTCCTTTTTGAATTCCTTTTTGAATTCCTCCATCTTATTTCGTTCTTCTCCTTATCTCATACACCCCAGCGTGTGCGTAACTACAAACCAATTGTAATAAACGCATGCAACACCGATACAATCTTCTTATCATTTAGTTGACAGATCAAACTCACGGCACATCAAACCATCCAGTCCACAATTCCTCTCTCACGGCACATCAAACCATCCAGTCCACAATTCCCCCCTCACGGCACATCAAACCATCCAGTCCACAATTCCTCCCTCATTGCACATCAAACCATCCAGTCCACAATTCCTTCCTCGCGACACATCAAACCATCCAGTCCACAATTCCTTCCTCGCGACACATCAAACCATCCAGTCCACAATTCCTCTCTTACTGTACATCAAACCATTCAGTCCACAATTCTTCCCTCACTGCACATCAAACCATCCAGTCCACAATTCCTCTCTTACTGTACATCAAACCATCCAGTCCACAATTCCTCCCTCACGACACATCAAACAATCCAGTCCACAATTCCTTCCTCACTGTACATCAAACCATCCAGTCCACAATTTCTCTTATCAATTTACTTGCATGACGGCCAGCCTGGTTAAAATCTAGAGCAGGATGAGGCAGACGGTTAGGAGGATAGTAAGTACAGACAGTCACAACCCCCAGCCTCAACCTGCCAAGATATATCAGCTAGCAGCAAAAGTTTGCCAGCCCTGTGGCACGTACGTGAGGTTAATAGAGACAGTATGGCGGACTCACGGCAACTTCAGACGCTTAGAAAACTAGTGACTCTAACCTCTAGGTCCTCAAGTGGCCAGGGACACGTGTCTCGTTATGTCAAAATGTTCAGAAACCACTTAGATAAAAGTAATTACAAGCGGCCATTCGCTGACTCACAACTTCCTGAACACGACCTCTAGTGAATTGTCATCGTTGGCAGGAAACAAAATCAGCTTGCTGCACTGAAAGCGAACCTCTAGCCAAGCTGGAATGTAGGGACTGCTCATTCAGCCTGCTGTCATACAGCTCGCTAGAGCACAGACTAGTCAGCGATTTTATTTTATTTTTAAGTATCCAGAAACCAGGTATTGTTAACCCTTTGGCTCGGTACTATCGATATCGCAATCCTTCGGCCTTGATTCCATGATAGGTACCGTAAATCTGGGAGAAATGTGGTTTTTCTGCCTACCCCCGGGCGTGTACCCGGACGATAACAACCGACTACAGGCCATCTGTCTCAGCTCGTTGACGGTATGTCCGCATGGAAGGTCACAAACACCCGTCTTCTCAACAGCTTCCCTAGTTCTAGTACAATACAACTTCGATATGGCCCGCGTCCGTCATCGCTGACACACATATAGACTGAAATCTAATATATCATTATATATGCATGTATGCAAATATCTATGTGTATATGCATGGACCTGTCTACAGCCACTTGTGCCTCGATCACATACCCTCCATGTTTTTAAAGGCCCATCGGCACTCAATGGGGGAATGTGATGAAGATCACTTGGTCACCTGTACTTCCAATGACATTACCTGATACCCCTTTAGGCTTGGTCGACCTCGAAATCCGCACCGGTGCAGATTCGAACCGAAGACCTTTGCGCTGAGGGACCAGCAACAAGCCGCTGCAATACGGTGGCTAGGTTCTTGTGTCGAAAAAGAAGTAAGTAGACGAACTCGAAAAAGGAGACAGAAAGGGGGGGGGGGGGTGACGGAAAGATAGATAGATAGATAGATAGATAGATAGATAGATAGATAGATAGATAGATAGATAGATAGATAGATAGATAGATAGATAGATAGATAGATAGATAGATAGATAGATAGATAGATAGATAGATAGATAGATAGATAGATAGATAGATAGATAGATAGATAGATAGATAGATAGATAGATAGATAGATAGATAGATAGATAGATAGATAGATAGATAGATAGATAGATAGATAGATAGATAGATAGATAGATAGATAGATAGATAGATAGATAGATAGATAGATAGATAGATAGATAGATAGATAGATAGATAGATAGATAGATAGATAGATAGATAGATAGATAGATAGATAGATAGATAGCCCGCCCGCCCGCCCGCCCGCCCGACCGACCGACCGACCGACCGACCGACCGACCGACCGACCGACCGACCGACCGACCGACCGACCGACCGACCGACCGACCGACCGACCGACCGACCGACCGACAGACAGACAGACAGACAGACAGACAGACAGACAGACAGACAGACAGACAGACAGACAGACAGACAGACAGACAGACAGACAGACAGACAGACAGACAGACAGACAGACAGACAGACAGACAGACAGACAGACAGACAGACAGACAGACAGACAGACAGACAGATAGATAGATAGATAGATAGATAGATAGATAGATAGATAGATAGATAGATAGATAGATAGATAGATAGATAGATAGATAGATAGATAGATAGATAGATAGATAAATAGA